TTGAAAGATGAATTAAAAAAGCAATCAACAAAGAAAATAATAAATGTAAAACTGAGTTATGCTTTCGGATTTATTACTTCGACATTATTTTGTAAAAAACTGAGATTATTATATTGCGACTAAAAAATTATATTTCTCCAAGTATCGCAAAATACAAATACATTATTAACGATGTTGCAATGATTAACCTATTTTCTACTTTAATATTACAAAATTTCATATTTCTTTAACATCTCTAAGAAACTTTGCATATAAACTATTACGAACGATGAAAAATGACGCTATTGGGAAAATAAGAAATAACGAATTAATTTTAATCAAATTGTTACAAAATAATTTAAATAATTTTAAATCATACTTACTTCATGCGTGGAATTATGTTCAGTAGTAAAATTGTGCGCTAATTCATGACAAGCTGTTATGAACCAATAGGTCATGGCATTACTTGTAATTTTAATACTACTTTCTTCTTCATGTAATTCAAGATAAATTTTTAAATTGAAATACAATGCTTTTCCTCTATTAAATGCAATTGAACTTGAATCATTATCATAAAATATATGGATAGCTTCATGTTTGAGTTGAAAAACCTCTGCAAGTCTTTTTAGGATATTCACGAAACGGGTCAAAGGATCTTTATGTGTTTGAAATAAATTTTCCGTTTGAACATAATAAATTTTAATCCCTTGTAATACACCGGTCTTGGGTAATAAATTATCTAAAATTATATAATACTTTAATGTTAACGGATGAAAAACTAACAATATAATTATATAAATATTAGAATATATGCTCATACCAGGTATAATTTCGCAATAGCATGGTTGGCTTTCATTACTTATATTGACAATTTGGACTCTGGTACTATCGATGACATCTCCCGAGTTAGAGCGGCAAGCATTAATAGCATCCTGTAGTAGATTTTTAGGTGTAATAGCTATAACAGCTGTAATAACTGGATTGTAGCGATGATTCGTCAGACCAATGATCTCAGCCAAACCACTTTTTCTATTATTTTCTTGCTGATGATGTAAATTGAAGTTAGAGTTAGGAGATGTGTCGATACACGAAGGCGAATAACGTTGTATGTCAGACGTGTTGAAATCAGAAAGCAACTTATGACTTTGATTGTTAACATTAATATGGGGAGTGTTGATGTTAATATGAGGAGGAGTATTAAAGTGAGGTGATGTGTTAATGTTAATGTGAGGAGGCTTGTTAATGTGAGCATAAGTGTTAATGTAAGGAGATGTGTTAATGTTAATGTGAGGAGTCGTGTTAATGTGAGAAGATGTGTTAATGTTAATGTGAGGAGGTGTGTTAATGTTAATGTGAGGAAGTAAATTAGAACGTCGTATGTTAGGAGAAAGTATGTAGTCTTTTAAGTCAGGTGCGTCAGGTAAATCAGTTGTATAATCAAAGGTACGTTGTAAGTTAGGTAAGTCAGGTATGCAATCAACTGGATATATTTTTGCCAATTCTGATAAAGGTGAACTTAAAATTGAACGGATATGCAAAACATTATCCGGTTTGTTTGAACGGTAGATATGCCTTGCTAAAGATTGTGCAATATCAAGAAGTTCTGAATTAGGTGTCACATAAAGAATCCATGAGTTCTTCGATTCCCTTTTAATGCAAGCAGCAATAGATTTTCTTTGAGTATCATAAGTTGTTAATGTATAAGTCGCTTCTATTTGTTCAACATTCCTAACTTTCAGTTTCTTAAACCACTCTTCGTCTTTTTCTTTTTTAATCTCGTTCTGACGACCATGATACAATAAGCGTGCTCTTTCCATGATCGTTTTTAATATCGTTCGAGAATTCTCGGTTTCTTGAACAATCCCTGTTGGTCTTGCAGTTTCCGTTACAGACCCATTTAGTGATTTACATCCTAAATCCTGAATCGAAAAAGAAATAATCAATAATTAATAATCATATCAACTGAAATAAAGGCAAAAATAAGTCACAA